GATTGCTAGCTACCCATCTGTCAAAATGGCCACCTTTAATAGTGATTCTGTCTGTAACCAACAGAGTAGCAATGAGGGAAAATAAACTACTTTATTTGCAATTTGATACTTCAAGAATAGTCTGTACATAAGATTTCAATTAATGTTAACTATTCAGAAATTCTGAAATGTTCACATGATTCTACTAAGATTCTTTGGGAAAGGGAAGAGACTGACACACAGAGAGACTTAATTTTTCAGGGGGCACAGTTCTTAATGTAATATTAACTTGTAAATATATATACATTCTGTGAGCAATGAGACTGAACCCTTGTTACAAGTGCACAACCCAACTTCCACTATGCTATCGCAACCAATATACACAATTTTTGCATGAAAATGGCACATGTATCCAATACTGATTTATGACAGTTATGATAGTTGAGTTTGAAGCAAAAGTTGGCAGAAGTTAGAGAATTACTGTAGTCATCCTTGTACAGAAGGAAGTTTTAAAAACCCCACAATATTCTTGACGTATGGCTATCGAGACTAAATAATGTAATCCTTATGAGTAATGATGATAGTTATTGACTTGGTCTGGTGCCAAATGCATTTAGAATTGAGCTTAATGCAACCAAATACACATATATCACTGCAGGAAAAACTGTCAGTGCAGAATATGTTACATATGTATTCCTAAATACATGTCTTATTTTATTATGTTGGAAGCAAGAAATCAGAATAATATGCAGAACAGAGACAGTAGAGCCAAACTGTGAATAAAGCACTAGTTCTTGTGATTCTGATCTGTGCCTCTGCCACTGATATTGTGAATTTTAGATATGTATTTGTTTAGGGTAGAAATTTTAGGATGGATGAGGATAAATTAACCTCTAGCCAGCTTGCCCATCAAAGGTGCCAACCATCTTCAACTCCATGACAGCTACAAGTACTCAGCACCTCTGAAAATTGTGTTAGTTTTTAAAGTGACCAAGAGGATGGACTCATGTACATTTCAGCAGCAGGTGATGTGTAAGTGTTGACAACAGGGGGCACAACTCTGTGCTGCTGCCTCTGCCCCAGCACTGGCTCTGGGGGCTGTAACCCCACACCTCACAGTCAGCACAGAAATCTGGGAGTGCACGTGCCCTCCATGCTTCCCCCATGTGTCACCTATGATTTCAACTGCTTCGAAAGGAGAAGAGGAACTGGTGCTTGAAAGTGTACATTAGCTGTTATGCTATAACTGTTACATCTACAGGATCCTATAGCAATACAAATTAGCTACAGTGTCCCAACCTGGACCTGAAAAGCAGGATTAAAGAGTGATGCTGGGGCACACACATGGTGTGCAGCCTAGGGGACCTGGGGCCTGTGTTGGTGTGGCCAGCAGGGAGTGTGCCACCAGGGCACGTGGCCCCTGGCTGCTTAGAAGTTGGACAGCCCTGACTTATAATATTTTTTGATTAAGATCAATCTGAACTCTACATTTCCTGATTTGTAATATTTGCCTTTTGGATAATTACAATATCCTTTTATTCTTTGAATATGTCATTACTACATAATCTTAAATTCATCTTCATAATGCATTTTTAACCTAAATATATACACTGGGCTTTTAAAAAGGTGAAATTTGTGAAAAATATAAATATAATGAAACTAGATAAATAATAATCCTGTGAGCTTTCACTTAATCTCTGAATCTCTTACTTAATTATTGAATGAACTTGATTATTATAGTGGCATGCTGTAGAAAGAATGGGCCAACTCATTTGAATTAAAGAAACTGGGAATTGATTTAGGAAAAAAGATTCTCTCTCCTCACTGCTGTCTATTAAATAATCATCTGCATTTCTCATGTTGCTGTGGTATTTAGTTCCTCCCCAGTAACATGGATTTTGAATAAATATACCACCTGCCCAAAACAATCATTTAGATGTGATTAGTGCAGGATTTGACCAATCAACTGTGCTTTTCAGTGTCAGATTACCTAATTAGCCACTGTTTTTTGAATTTTTGGATTTTAATTATAGCCCACATTGCTACTAACCTTAATTTTATGTTTTTTAATGGTCTGGTAATGGAGAGGAGGGGAGAAGAGTGTAAAAAGGCTCAGGAGAGTCCACTACTAGAAACAATTCATCTTTAGTGAGCAGTGCAGGAGGGTAGGGATAATCTCTTTGGGTGATGGTGCTGCTCTTGCAGGCCAGGTACAGATGCCCCTTTACATGTGGCTCCTACTGATCAATCTCAGACTTCGTATGTAGGTTAGGAAGCAAGGAAGTGGTGGCAACAGTTGAACATCAACAGAAAGGTTGCATCTGGTGGAAGTAGGTCTCCTCCTGCTATGTTTCCCTACCCCAGCAAGGAAATTCTCACATTCCACCTTTTCTTTTAGCTCACAGAATGCCAATATCAATTGCCTCATTGCTCTGTTTGCATTTTATCTATTACACTGTATCACATTTTTGCAGGACATTTTTATTGTAATCATTTGTTTGTGAGGACACATCTTGACCAGGACTCCTGCCCGGCAGACTGACCTGAAGTGTTATAATGAGCATCTAAAAAGTCCTAATCCAGTTTATAGAGAATACTTCCAGTGAAGACTGATTCAGACAGCAGCAGTCTGCTTCAGGAAGGCTCCCTTTAACTTGGGTAAAAGGAAAGTGCTAAGATTCAAGGAGTGTAGCTGCATCATGAAGGCTAAGAGAAATTCTAGGTACAGTACAACGCAGCACTAAGACAGCAAGTGATAGGTTGCTGCCTTAACACCTACAATCCTGTTTTGATTTTGCTAGGATCCACCTAACCTCTAGAGCAGAATAGAACTGACAGGGAACACAGGTGGCTTAAACTCTCTTTAAATCTTCATCTCTTCCTCCTTTCAAAAATACAGCCCACAATTTCACCTCAAGATTTTAATACAATTGCACATGTTCTCACGGCAGAGGCGCATTTAGATTTTGAAGCGATTGAGCAAGTTTCCTCTTGGACAGGTAGAATCTAATTGCTTAATATGCACAGATTTTGCAAAAAGGGATGTGGATTTACAAGGAGGTCCAAACTCTCATAACTAGGCTCAACTCATTTCTAATTCTGATTATTTTATATACCTGGATTTTGTACTTAAGAGTTCTGCACCTACAGCATATCCTCTCCTGAAAAACTCAACCAACAACAATTAGAGAATAAATAATAATAATAATAATCGTTCCCAGTTTTGTACCTGAGCTCTGTGCTGAGTCTGACTCAAAAAGAAGTAATGATGTCAGTCTAAAAACTTGTGCCTTAGCCACTCATCCACTTTTTCATTAACCACAAAACTGTTCTGTCTGTTTTTCGCAGACATGCTGAAAAACGTAGGAAGATTATATTTTTAATTTACTCATGATAGTTTTGACCAAGAACTTAAAATTGAAGGGTTTTGAACTTCAAAGCAAAAGAAGCTGTTGTAGCCTGTTAATCCCTCCTGATTCAGCTTCTCTGACTTCATGTTAATCTCTGTTTGAACACAATATTTTTATATAAACAACTACACTTAATGATTTTGAATATGATTGAAGCAAGACATCCCTAAGTCCAAAGTCAGGCTTTTTAGCTGTTGCTTTTATAATGAATGCTGTTTCTGTTACTTAAATTACTAGTGTTATAGACTTCTGAATATGAACATAGCCAGAAGTTACTCAACTAATTCTACTGGTGGTTCTCAACTTCACTATTGTACTAGATGCCCTTTTTTTAAACAACATGTTGATACAAGTTATGGTTCAGAATGTATATAAATATTTTGGTTTGGATCACATATAAAGAAGCACCATACTCACTGTACAGAAAGAACATGAATCAATCCTGGGATGCACGAATCATGGTGTGACTAACGGAAACAGACAAATAATTAAGAAAACTAGGGACAAATCCGGCAGCAGTTGCCCTGGAAGCCTCACAAATACGTCAGTAAAACATTAATGAGAGTTCCCCAGGAGTCGGAGGTGTAGAATTTGGTTTAAATATTGTATTAAATTACAAAAGATGGAATAAGTTTAGCACAAGAAAAATCAATTAAAAAATGTATGCTTTCTGGATAACACATCAATATATGGAGATTTTTTGGGCAATGGAGGAAAGATCTTCCTTCCTCTGCCTTTCTTTAGCCCCATTTAAAAACAACAGAACAAAAACAAACAACAAAATCCTATTCCTTTTTCCAAAAATGGATTTAGTCCATTATAAACGTACTACTCTGACCTGATAATTTCAATCAGCCCTTCTGATACAGTAATTCCTGGTAACAGTGAGCAAAGATATAGATAAGAAAAAGATAGAAATTATTTTAGTCTGTCCTCCCGACTGGATGAGCCTTTAGTAGGGCTGGAAAAAGGAGTCTCTGTGCAGTCCTCAGGCACGTCTACGTGCCAAAATGCACTGCTGTACAGATACTTAAGACATACTTTACACCCCCCCCCAAAAGCCAAGCTGAAATCTATCATGTAATATAAATTGTAATGTAACAGGCACCAGGCCAAAAATGTATGGTTTTTATTTGTTGTAATTTCTGTATCCCTCTTCCCCCCATCGTATGCTGTTTAATATCTTATTATAGTGACTCAGAACCATTATGAATAGGATGTCAATGAAAGGAGCTTATGCATGTTGTATTATCCTAATATAATATAATAAATTAAATTGTATATATCATATGTATTACAAGTGATTGAATAAAGGACATTAGCAGCCATTAATATGCATTGTTTTTGTTTTGTGGTTTTAAGCTACAATATTAATTTTACTATGCTTAATATACTTTTATATGCTATGACCATAAATTAAAGTTTGCTGATTTTTCTTGCATTCAGCTGTTTGGGAGTTCATCCACTCTAACAAGAAAGGCATTAATCAAGAAACAGTCACAGTTGTGGCCATTATTTGTCAAGGAGACAATGTTTAGGGTAGAAGGTTTGCTTTCAACAGCTAGCAAATTTAGGAAAAGGAGAATTAAAACACCATGTAGAAATACTCACAGCTTTGGTTTGGCAAGCACTGGTGGCGGCTCCTTGGTGGGTGAAAGCAAGACAGCTGGAGATGGGGTAGATTTATCACTGTTAGTTTTGCCATTAATCACACCATTTACTCCATGACTGGGATGGATGCCATTAGGTTTCTTCTCAGAAGAGTTTAGCTGTAACTGAAGAGCTGCTACACTGGGTCTACGTTCAGTGTTGTTCACCTGGTGGCTCTCTGTGTGCTTCTTTGGAGGAAGCTCAAGAGAACTAATCTCAAGCATTGGAGGGGGAGGCGGGAAATGCTGGAAATCATCACAGTTGGATTCTCTTGCTGACAATTCATGGCAAGAGCTTTCCGAGTTGGCTAAAACAAAAAAGGAGATTAATTCCTGTCCAACAAGTCATATTCAGTCGTCATAACAGATTCTTCACAACACATGCATGCAGTGTGCTTTTAGCTTATTAAAAAGGTGAGATCACTACATTTTCATTATGAATAGTTCCTATGCCAATTGGATATTTTTTCTGGGGCTCTCAAAAATATTCACGCTAGATTAGATATGCTACTGACTATTCATTTTCCATCTCTGCCCAGGATGGAGGTGGCACTTGTTGCCAGTTAAGAACAGCAAGTAGTTTATTTGTATTTAAGAATGGCTGGCTGAATAAAATCTCTGCACTGGAATCTCGTTAATGTTCACTACACAAAGTCAGCAACAACATCAGGTTGCACATTATGGAACTAAGCAGTCAGCATTTCTGTTTTAAGTTGTACACAGAACATAAGAATTTTATTTTCCATCTTCGCTAGTATAACGTCATCTATTTTCATTTTGCCTCTACTGCCATCTAGCCCCGGAAGCATGATGTTAAAGAATCTGTCAGGCTTCATTAGATTATTTTTTCAAATGTTCTTTGCATAAATGAAAACATACGATTAGTAAACTAACAACAAATACTCATTGTTGGCACTTATGTGGTTGTATTACAGCTAAGGATAGCAACACACTTTATATAAATCTTCAGATAGCTTCATCTTCAAGACAGGTAAATATTTTTCTCCATTCTGAAGATGAAACAAGTGATGCTCTGATAGGCAAGTGACTAGTTCAAGGTCATACTAGTCCTCAGTGAAAGAGCTGGGAACAGAACACAGGTTTTCTAGCATCCAAATCTTGCAAATTAATTGCAAGAAATGCTGCTCTACAGAAGCAACTGAAAAGGGTACTCGAATTGACAGCAACAAAGGCAGTAAGAATTAGGGCTGTGTGAAGCTTTGGTCACTGATTCAATTTGGCAGAAATTCAGCGGTTGAACCACCAAATCTGAATCAAATCAGGAGACCCTTTAATTTTTCCAAATTGAATCAGAACCCTCTGAATCAATTCGGAGAGATTTGATGATTTGGAGATAGACACAGCTTTAAATGTTTTTTCTACATACGTCAAGGTACCAGGTGGCTCGTGAACACTGAGATGGTGGGGCGGATGGAGCGTCCCATGGGAGCGTGGGGGAGTCCCCAGCGTGCTTGGTGGTGGACCCAGAAGTGGGCCAGAAGTGCTTCCGGTCCACTTCTGGGTCAGCTGTGGAGCGCATGGGGACCCCCTCAGGGTTTCTCCATGGCCAATCACCAAGCTGGGAGGGTACAGGGGGTGGCCCCCCACGTACTCACCATTCTCACCATCTCAGCATTCTCGAGCCGTGCCTGGTACCTCGAGGTATGTAGAAAAAACATTTAAAGCTGTGTCTATGGCTAAATCACTTATTCTCCAAATCAGCATCAAATCTTCAGATTTGGATTCATCCGAACTGAATAGGGACAGTGATCCAAATCAATGAATCAAATCACTGTCCCCCAAATCAGACCAAATCGAAATCCAAATCGAATATGGCCCACTTCAGACACCCCTAGTAAGGATGCATTTCTGTCTCCAGTCTCTCTTAGGAATGTGTTTGTCTTACTGGCATTAGCACTAACAAGTGGTCAACAGCATTCATCTTAGATTTCTTAATGTTTTTTTCTTGAGCCAAATCTGGGAGAGCCATATCTTTAAGAACGCAAAATAGCTGAGGGTGCATTGGACTGATTTTTGATTCTCTACACAAGACACTAACTGCGCAGTAGCCTAATACTACTATGCAGTAGTGTGTCACAGCAAAAACTGTGCTAATATGCTACTGCGCAGTAATATTAGACTACTGTTCAGTTACTGTCACTAAAAAGCCATGCACTAGTGCTACTGTGCAGTAGTGTCAGCTACTGTGCATTGATTAATGCACAGTAACTATGGCACATTAATGAATGTGTAGTTGTGTCCAGTTTCTCTTCAGTAATTTATTCTTTAGGATACTACTGCTACAATTTTCTTCACAGAGTACTGGTTCTTTTTCTATATCTGTATTACTTTGTGAATCAACCTAATGAACATGTTAGCTGCTTAAAGAGCATCTTTTCAGTTATTATTTTTTTCTGCTGCTTTTGGATTCAGTAAAACAGATTGCCTGAACAGCTCTGTTGCTCCAGGAAGAGACAACGCTGATTCAGCTGTTGCTGTTTGATAGTACTTGACCCTTTCAATTAGCAGCTGGATTTCTGGAAGATATTTACGGGGATCCATATGGTTCCTTTTTCATGTCTCTTGAGGATAAATGCATTAGCCTTCCCAATATCCACCAGAAGCAGTTCCCAGACTTGGAGAGAGCAGATTAAGGCAGTGATGGGGGATATGAAACTACTCTCAGAAAGACTGAATTGGAGGTACAGCAAGGAGGTGCCCAGCAAAGTTTCTGTGTCCTGAAACAGCTGCTTTCTGCAAAGAAAGTTCCTAGATAAACTTCACAGATGTCTCATGAATATAGCAACTTATTAAGTCCTTCAATATAAAATCCTCCTTCCCTCTGTTGCATACCTGAGCAGACTGTCAGCTGTGCGCTGCTTGTTGCTGATCCGTACTCGTTTGCTGCTGTGCATGCGAAGGTTCCGGAATCTTCAGGAAAAGTCTCTGCAATGACCAGGGTACAGATCTCCTCTGGAAATGAGCAGAGAGGAGCAAACCAACGATCAGCTACTTAGGGTACTATGTTTACAAAGGGGCCTAAAGGCTAAAGGTTTTTCCCAACCATTTTTTTTAAATAGGCAAAAACAATGATTTTTTTGGAGCAGAAGCTTTACTGACACGTGCAAGTAATCAATTAACCGGTTTCCACATGCAGGTGTGGCTTGCACAGCTTTACTGAACTCTGGGCAAGCACATAAGGCATAGATACGAACAATTCTGAATCTTTTCTATTCAGAAAGAAAGAAATTACAGCATGTCAGAGCAGCCTCCCTGCATGTGTATATATGCCCTGAGTGTTTAGGAAGAAAGGGTATTAAATAGTGTCATTTTTTAAAGGTATTGGTTGTAGTCATGTTGATCTAAGGACACAGGCAGACAAAATTCTTTGGGTAAATCTGAGATCTTTTATTAGTTGGTCTAATAAAAGGTTTTGGATTTACCCAAAGAACCTTGTCAGTCTTTAAAGGTAGAACTAACCACCAAAAACCAGATACACTTAAAAAAAACCTTAGAGAAAGTTAGTTTGGATTAAACAATTAGCTTGATCTTTTACTCCCTGCATTTTCCATATACTTTTACACCCCTGATCACCTTTAACAGGCAAGAGTCAGTGAAGTCAACAGGAATTGTGACACAACTTTAGAGACCAAATTATGTCCCTCCCTGCCTTAAATGCAGCAGGACCTAAACTGGAAATCTTATATTAGAGTCCAAACCTACCAAAAGTTTGGGACTGGTCATATCACAGTTTGATCTTTATCAAAGGCTTCATGTTCTTACTTTCATCATTTTCAGGTATTGTAATGGTAATGATGTTGATTAACTGAGCTATAGTTCCAGTTTTTCCTATACAATCTGCCCAATATTATCTAGCTTTGGAACTACATAGGATACTAGATACTAAAAAAAGATATCAACATATTGATAGTCCTACTGGAATGCTACAGGAATTTTCAAAGCCGATTTAAACAATCCCACTTGTATATAGCTATCCTGGATACTTTAAGTTCAAGGTTTCTTTAGGCAATTAGAAACCACCTTTCAAAACACAGGTTGTATAAGCTATATATAGGCATCTCCCAAGCTTTACACTTGAAATTTATGACTAAACTTGTACCAAACTTTTAGTAGAAAAAAAATAGAAGCATTTTGTGCTTTCTTGTAGATCTCTACATATTCATTTGATTTTTAACATATTAAAAATAGCAAGGAGCAGAGCTGGAGAAGTAAGCTGAATATTTCAGAACCCACCATTTTTCACAAGAGAATTACTCTGCAAAGGGCTGTAGTAAGGGTAGGTTTTATTTCTCTTAGATTAAATAATGAGATGCCGGGAGTAGTTCTTAAAGTTTCTTTGAGGGGCAGCAAGCTGATGTCTCAATTAAAGTTAAAGGATTTTTCCTCTTTCAAATTGCTGTATATCCAAAGACTTCCTGTGTTGGAGACAGGCTGAAAAGGAATGACTAATTAAAGGTCTGGCATGATTTTTTTTTTTTCAGACAGTAAAACATATTTTTTGGCAGCTCAGAGTAGTCATTCTGTATAACTGCAAAAGGATGTCTGGTAGTACTGTAGCACGTTGGAACTTATCTGACCCAGATGAAGATTAATGAGTCATGAAAAGTCTTATCAGGCTAGTAATAGGTAACACAAACTAGTTTTTGAACTAAAGAGGTCAAACTTTTTAGCATTACTGTGTTTTAGGTACTGTATTAAGTAACTTTACGTTATCTTGTTAAACACACATGAGTCTTCCTGGATTCAACAATTCCTTGGAATGTAATTTGATACAGAAACCATATTAATTTCCTGTTAAAGGAACAGCAACATTCTAAATGATGAGTATTTCAGAACCACAAATGGGAATTGCAACCAACATAATAAATTTATTAGTCACATTGCGTTGTGATGGAACAAAGGTACAATCCAGTGGCATCACATTTTTACAACTGTATATGAAAAAAGACAGAACTTAAGGATGTATATAATATAATGTAATAATTCACATAGAATTATCAAGAGATGACAATATATCTTTCAATAATTAAAGAGTCATTTAATTAAAATATATTCTACCATGATAATTTTTACTTATAAACTAATGTTGCATGGCAAACCTGTATTAATAATAAATTTTATACATCAATAGTAAAATAAATTGCATTGACAAGCTGACCTTTTGACCTAAACTGTTGGACAGCCAGACTGCCTAGTATATATGTGATGCTCTATGATGGCAACACTGGCTGAAGCAAGCAGTAGCTTTAGAAATCCTTTGTAAGCATCTCACTAATCAAAGAATGCATCTACACAAGATGCTTTACTGATCATTAGACTAATATAATGTGTGGTTAAGCATCAGCATCTGCACATGTGAAGACTTACTGCGCAGTAACTTAGGCTAACACATCTTTTGCTAGTATCAACAAATACAGTTACTAAATTAACAGCACATTAGCTACTGTGCAGTAGTGCACATACAGACACTGACCAGGAGCAATTTGCCTCTGATCAGCCTAGGCAGCATGGAGCCACAGTGGGCAGTGGGGGGCAGCTGTTTGTAGCTCTGGCACAGCTCAGCTCCCCTCCCCGCCCCCCGAAGCCAGGAGCTGAGTAGTGCTGCGATGGGGGAGCTCTCTCTCCTCGGTCCTGGTGCCACTCAACTCCTGGTTACCGCCCAGGCACAGAAGAGGGGCAGGAGCTGACTAGGGTGTGTGCTACACAGGCAGCAGCAAGTCTATGGGGACAGAGAGATTCCCTATCCTCTTAAACCTGCCACTGCCCATGGAATACATGCCCCTGTCAGCTCCTGCTCCCCACCCATTACTGGGGGGAGCTGGGAGCTGAGCAGTACTGAGACGGGGGGAGACACGAAGGAAAAGCAGCACCAGGACTGGGGGAAATGTGAGGAGAAGCTCTCCCCCCACTGCTGCTTCCCCCTTGTGCCTCCCCCACAAGTCCTGGAGCTGTCTCCTCTCTACATCTCCCCCTGGTCTTGGTGTTACTTACTCTCACAGTCGGACATAGGTCATTGCCCCAAGCCAGTGCTGCTGAGCTGGGCTGCAATCCCAAGCTCCGTGGAGCTGGAAGCTATCCTCTGCTCTCTGGAGCCCAAGCCCGACCATCAATGCTGGCACCCAGGGGAGCCTGGAGCTCCCCCTGGCTGCTGCAGGAGGGCAGGGGCAGCCCTAGACTGAACTGCTCCCATTGGGAGCAAATTTGCTCCTGACAGGGACGCACATGTACACAAAGGAATGCTTTAACGAGCCTGAATTTTCTTCACAGAAGGTTCAGGCACATTAGCTGCACTTACAAATGTGCCCAAAAGATATCCGGAGCAAAATTCAACCCCGGTATAAGCAAAAATGACTGCTATTGCCTTTAGATGATTTGTTGCCCAAAACCAACATTATCTTTGTCTCATGCAGAATCCTAGTTAAACGACTTATTAGCAAGCATCTGTAGAAAGTACTGGAGAAAACACTGGTTCAGTACATGTGGGAATCAGCTAAAGAACCTTTTTCTTAGGAGCTGGATGCCTATTTTTTCTGGGTATTTGGTTAAGTCTTAAGATACTGATCATATATACTGATGCATACTAGCACTTGATTATATTTTCAGTCGGCTAGAAGGAAAGGTTATGTTTTAGAGGCTGATCTTTTTCATTCATTCCTTGAGAGTCAGAATCACCTTAAGGGAGAACTAAAGCTAAAAAAAAAATCTTCACTCCCAGGCTGCTGTACCTTAAAATTGTAGTTATGTTATTAGATATGTAGGAAAATTGCTCTACTTCTGGCCATTTTGATTAGCATTCTAGTTCTGAAACATTTAACTAATTTCTTTGTTGAAAAAGACTGCAGTGGACTGCATTTATTTCCCAGAACGTCTGTGTGCATCACACTGAAATTAAAGCTTTTCTTTGATCTACAGCTTTGATTTTCAACTTTGATCTTCAACTTCCTCCACTGTAATACATGCATAATCCTGGAACACAAATAGCTTTTCTTTAGTTTTTCAATCATGATGCAATACATAGAGATGTTGCTCCACACACATACACAGTTCCAAAGCCACAACAAAGTTTCTGCCATAAAAGAAAGAGTGGATGCATATAGTGATACTTGCGGGTGAAAGACTGATGTTGAAAATGTCTTGTGGGAGACTGGTATCTTCTCTTCCATCTTAGTCCCTAAGGCCACTTGTACATGCGATGGGGATTTAGTTCTCCCTTAACTGAAAAAGTGGGTTTTTAATTGTGACAATTAAAAACGCATTGATTCAGTTAAAGGGCTCTGTCACTTATGGTGAGGGGCCCAATCTTTTTTTCTTTTTCCCAGCAGAGCCTGCCCACAGCTGGGAGGTGAGCTGCTAGTGGGCCCTGAGCTGTTCCAAGTCAGCACCCAGTTTGCTAGCAACCTGCCTGGGCAGCCCCAAGGGGCTCCACCATCACGTAAGGAAGGACTGCAGTCCCCCACAGCTCAGATGCAGCTTGCAGCTCGACCCCCAGCTGTAAGCAGGCTCCACTGGATAAAAAAAAAGGATCCGACCCATCACTGCTTTTTTAATTCACCCTGGAAGAGCCTTCCCACAGCCAGGGGGTGAGCTACCAGTGGGCTGAGTGACTCCTGAGCTGTGGGGGGGCCCTCATTCTTCCCTCTGCAGTGGCAGTGCCCCCCAGGACCATCCAGGTGGGGTGCTAGCAAGCTGGGTGCTGGTTACAAGCTGTCAGCCCTGGGGGGTGCACCACCACAAATGGAAGGACCAGGGCCCCCTGCATTTCAGATGCCACCAGCAGCTCACCCCCTGGCTGGGGCAGAGACAGGCAGGCTCTGCTGGGGAAAAAAAAAAGTGGGACCTTACCACCTCCCCTGCAGGGCTTCCAGCACTCCATGCATTAAAGAAGTCAGCCTGCACCTCTGGAGTTGGTGTCACCAAGTGGGTTTTGGCTTATTCGAACACAATCCGCATTT